AGTCGGCGTTGAGAACTTTTAGTGTTGTATCCAAAAGAAGAACGGCGAGACTTGAAATCGAAGGATTTAAAGATGAATTTGAAGAAGAAAGGTCTGTAGAAAAGAAGAAGACTACGGCGGTGATTCCCTTTATGAAAGGAGGTTGGCGAGAGATTAGGGTAAAATGTGTCTAACTTTTTTATTTTTATTTTTTAAGTAAAACATGGTTAAATAAAAAAGAATAATTCTGGAATTTTAAGTACACAAATTGTTAGACACCTAATTATAATTTAGGTCATGTTAGACAAGTAATTATATCTCACAATAATAATATACATGCCTATTCCCCTAGAAATAATCTAGACCAATAGTTTAAAGAGAACTTATTTATTAAATATATATGTACAACTCATATTTATTTGAATTATATCATAAGTATAAATTATGTTAAATTTAGCTTCTCCGAATATCTTAAGTATAATTTAGAATACAAATAAATTATTTAATATTTTAAAACATTAAAATATATAAACATAAATTTTATATATGAAACACGGATTAAAAATATTTTTTGTTACCTTCAAATGAAAAAATCTTTTTGTTATTTTCAAATTGTCTTGTGTGAAAAAAAAATCTAAAGAATAATTATATTTGTTGTTATAATTTTGAAAGTTTTTTTTTCATAAAAAAATATCAAAATTTCTGGAGAAATTTCACAAAAATGTCATTTTTCAAAAATGCCACATTTTCAAAATATTTGTAAAAATACCACTGTTTCAAAAAAAAATTTCACTATATCATTTATGTTTGTGTTAACTATGTTGTATTAGGGTTTAGTTTTGTATAGGTTTTAGGGGTCAAAACATTTTTTAAGGTTTACAATTTTAAGATTTAGGGTTTCAAAAATCCATAATTAGTTGCATTTTTGCAAATGAACACCCCTAAGTGGCATTCTTGCAAATGTACACACCGAAAATGATATTTTTGCAATTGCCGTAAATTTATTTTTTGGTTAGTCTTTATTATTAATTTCAAAAATAATGTATATATTTTATTGAAAATGTTCTAGAATTTTATTATCACAATAATCAATTTCTAAACTATTTTTAAATGCGTCCATAATAAAGACACTTACTGTCTCTTCTTGATTCAAGTATTTTTGTGAAATTAATTTTAGAGAAATTTTTAAAAATACCACTTTTCAAATGCCATTTTTCAAGTGTCACTTTTCAAAAATGCCACATTTTCAAAAAATTTGCAAAAATGCCACATTTTCAAAAAAATTGCAAAAATGCCACATTTTCAAAAATATGCAAAAATGCCATTTTTCAAAAAAAATCATTATATCGTTTATATTTGGGTTAATTATGTTGTAGTAAAGTTTAGTTTTCAGGTTTAAAGAGTTTTAGAGGTCAAAACATTTTTTAAGGTTTATAATTTTAATATTTAGGCTTTAAAAATCCATAATTATGGGTATTTTTACAAATAGACACCCATAAGTGGCATTCTTGCAAATATACACACAAAAAGTGGCATTTTTGCAATTGCTCCTTAATTTTACTGGGTATAAGTTTTAGTGGACTAATTGCAATAAAAGAATAATTTGTTTTTACATTTAAAAGTGTGGTTAATTTTTCAAAAATTTAATTAAAATCAAGAAAATTAGAAAAATACCTAGTTACATGTACATATAGTATTCAACTTGTGTACTTTATTAATATTTAGCTAAAGATATCAATCTCTATAGCCGTGTGTGATTGTGAAGACAACATTCATATTGTCTTCTTAGCCGATAATTGGGCTAATAAGATATTGACATATTTTCTTAATGAGTTTAGGCTAATTTATTTAGAGATTAATTGTTTTAATGAGTTTGGGCTAATTTAGTTAGAGATTAATGGGTTAGATTGCAATGTCACATTTTTTACAATGTCATGTCACAATTAAATTGGGAGAGTGATTGTGGTGAAGACACATAAGCAAATCACTCTCCAATTA